GGATTTGCATACAGAAAGGAAGCATATGACTTTAATTTCTCTCGAGGCAACTTCTTGACACACTGAAGTATCTGTAGAATTGCAAGCTCTAACACTCACAAACCTCAAACCAAACACATTTACACTAAGCACACTTCAAGGTCAGAACATATATCTTCTATAAGAGAGGAAAAAGAAAATAAGCTTAAAATCTAAATCTAGTTGGAGAGCCATCCCAGCTAAATTTAGTGACTGACAAACACTAAAAAGTTGTTACCCAGCTAAAATTAGCAGAAAGAAGGGGTGAATAACTACTCCCTAAGATCAATCACTCCAAAATCCAAACTTGTCTAGCTTATATACCTCTTATTTGCTAGAGGTATGATGAGAAAACAGATTAAAAGCACTTCAAAAGTCCATCTTCTAAAGTGTCATGAGCTGGTATGCAAATATATTAGCAAACAAAAGAAACTGAAACATCTTGAAGCGCAACGCAGAAGAAGATCTCCAAGTCTGGCGGAGCAAAAAATGCTAATGGTGATCTACGCAAAGAGCAATTTGAAACCACCCTTTGCTTCTTTGGTGCTGGTGGGCATGTTGAAATTTCTGGTATCCGAAATTTTTGACCTTTTGGTGTGGAACATACACTGTTAGAGACGTCAGCAACCTCAGAATCCATGTCTCCGTTCTCTGAGGAGCAGCTTGCAGTGAATATTTCTTGTTTTTGGGTCTGTGGATGCTGCTTCTTGAAGTGGCTTCTTGTGGGGTTTCTTCTTCTTCTTCTACTTGTCTTTTTTCTTGAGGTTGTTGTCCTTCCAGAAGGGGCCATTTCTTGAGATAAAGAGAGGAAAAGCTTGTGTGGGTTTAGTTAAAAGAGATGGTAAAGGTAACTTATAAACTGGCACGTACAAGAAGAAGCTTAAGGCTTTACCAGGTAGAGCAGATATAAAAAACCAAAGAGTATTGTAGAGTGCTTTTAAATGTTGACTGAAAAGTGGGTTTTGTAGAGAAGTCAAGTAATGATTCCTCAGTTAACAATCTTCTTGTAACAACGTAAAAGTAACTCCCACTCCCTCCACTAGCACACTCACACAGGTAGTGAAATAAGGAATCCAAGACAAGATTTCTGGAAGAGCAGACAAAAACCCACATGTGCTTTTCAAACACCTGTTTCAGATTGTGAAGAGCTATGCTAAAATTTTCAAACAAATCCAACTAAGTCACAATACAATTATTACCCTACAGAGGCCTTTGAAAATGTTTAGACCTTTTGCAAACAACTCAAAGAAAAAAAAAAAAAAAAAACAAGAGTTAGCAACCTAGAGAAGATATTAACCCAGTTTGGTGTAAAAGCCCCATTTAACCCTAAGGAGAGGAAAAGAGATAAGCAATTGAAGGAGGCAGAAAATTTCACAATGGCAGACAAGAGACTTGAAAAAGAAGCTCATTCAAATATTTGGGGGACCTATTAGACTTTTTATTGATAGATGAAGAATTGAATTTTTTTATTTATTTTATCATTAAAGAGTTAGCAACCCATTAAGAATCTTCTTTTGTGTGGACTTTTTGATTATATACATTGTTTTGTGAGTAAAACTTAATTTTGATCCTTACCAAAAAAAAATGTCCTCACTTTAGTTTTTTATAAAAAAAAATTAGTCATCTGATTCTCATGAAATTCAAAGCTGATCCAGTTTAGTCCTTTTAAAAAATTAATGTGGGTCTTTTTTTAATTTGTGAGAGATCACGATTTCAATTAAAAGAGTCTACTTTGAATTTTTTAGAAATCTTGAGACTAATTTTATTTAAAAAAAAATTAAAATAGGGATATTTTTTTTATTAGGAATCCAAAATATACTTTATGTTATTTTGTAGGTTACCTCACTTAGCTTCAAATTTTCAACTTTCACCTTTATCAAAATAAAATTCAAATTTCAGTGCAACTTTGGAAACATATTATTTATTTTTATGAAGGAAAAGTATTTGTTGAGTAAACATTCATTTTGGTCCCTAAAAGTGAATTGACCTCACTTTGATCTCTGAAAAATACGTGACATCAATCTAATCTTTTAATCATAGAAAAAGACATCAAAAAAAAAAAATCTTCAATGTTGAGATTGAATCAATGTCATAGTCTATTACAGAGAAACTAAATTGATGTAGCTTTGTCATGATTGAGAAACTAAATTAATTAACTTATCATTCAAAAACTAAATTGATGTTAATACAATCTTTTCAAAGAATAAAAACGTATTTTACTCACATTTATTATATTGATCAATCTAGTATTATTTCGTTATTCGTTAAATAATGATATTACTTATGCAGCACCGCATCAGTCACAACCTATGTGACAACAAATGAATGAATTCTTCAACTAGAAAAGTGGGGAACAGTAAACGTGTCTTCTGCACATATGAATGAAGTTTTATGATAGTTGCATTGATTTTAAACGGTAACTATCAAATCAGTTTATTGATATTAGTAGTATTTACATGTTTAATTAATTGAATTAAGCAATCAAGGGAATCCTATGATGTCAGGGATTGAAACTCATAAAAATAGATTGCTTCTGTTCACCTTAAGTAGATTAGTCTCACACTAACAAGCTAGAAGTGCAAAGAAAAGAAATGATAAAAGTAGTGTGGAGATTCTCATTAGTTCATTCATTGATCAATGAAAATATTAAAGTTTTTCAGCCACTAATTGATATTTTTGTTTGGGAAATATTTAATTGATTATGGACGCTGAGAAATTGGAGGGTTCCCTGAGTTTTGTCTTCTAGTCCCAGTGTTTTGTCTTTTAGGCCTAAATCTTGGCTTCACCTTATCAGAATCATGCACTTAAAATTGCTTTTCTATTGTTTCCTTGTAGGATCCTAGAAGGGTTTTGGACAGACGTGCGTGATGATGCATTTGCTCTGTTTCTCACATAGATTCACTCATGCATGCATACATAGACTAATATTATGACAAAATATCACCAAGAACTTTTCGAAGTTGTAATAAATTTTTTGGATAAACACAAGTCAAAAGGAGTTTTACAAGAACTGCCAGTATCGATTAGGTTTGCAACAATCTAAAATTAGAGAGAAGGGGAAAATTTGAGGTAGGAAAATATGTACATTTACTAAATAAGTTGGCAGTGTAGCGAAGAATATGGGGGTTGACTAATCAGTTTCTTTCTTCTTGTTTGCCATGTTTCAAAAATTCTGAATTCTTTTAAATTAGAAGAATTTTAAAATGTTCATAAAAATAGATAAGAAAGAGTTTTGCGTGGTTAAATAATAATTCCCCATTTTTTACCCTCTCATTCTAGAAAAATTGTAAAACAATAAAGGGGTTTCACTTAAAACCTTCTTCCCTCATTTCCTTCTATATCCTCCATATAGCCTAAATAGGCTATTAGCTAGAATACAACATTTGCTTGGAAATAAAGCTGTGACAAAACGAAAGAGCATATAAAAACTCAAGGAGTTGATAATTGATATATGGGAAAATAATTATATCTAGATTCAATTAGTGTCTGTTTGAATTCTTATATTTTAATTATTTTTTTCTACTTATAAGTAGAAACTAAGTTAAATAGATTTTAAGAAAGCTTTTATTATGAAAAGCTTTTTTATATATAATAATAAAAAAATCCAAAAACCCCTAGGAGAAACTTTTTTTTTAAGTTTTTATCAATTTTTCTTGAATTTTGTGCTCTCTTTTTTTAACGAAGAGTCATAAAAATAGAGAGAGAAAAGCTTTTTCTTCAAATGTGTGTTTTTAAATAGCTTTTAAGCTAAAAAAATTTATGTAATCACCAAACAATTTTTAATTTTTTTAAAGTTTTTTTTTTAACTTTAGCTTAAAAGTGATTTCTTGTTAAAAAAAAAAGAGAATCCAAACGGGCGCTAAGTATTAGAAAATTTTAACTATTTAATTTCATCTTTTCCAGACTTGCTTGAGTCTCAGTTAACGCTTTAAATATGGAAAATGTATTTATTATGTTCTATGAGATAAATTGTCTCATACAACATATAAAAAAAATAAATGAAACCTACTAAAGAGAATAGAGAGAAAAAAAAAAAATATACCTATTTTTTTTTTGTATCACATGAAACAAGCAACATGAGAAGCACATTCCCATTTAAATATATACCATTATGAACTAACTATTTCAAAAGAATTAATGGAAGAAGAACGGCACATGAATTTTTATATCTAACACATATTTTCATTGATTTTCAAATAAAAAAAATACACAAAATCAATAAAACATTTAACTGTAAGAATAAAGTTCTAAGCACATTAGCAACATCATTTTACATACAAGTGACAGGATTAGGATGTTGGGTGTCTAAAAAACGAGGTGAGAACAATCGTAATTACATGATAAAAAAAAATAGGTATGAAGTGATATGTGTATGGAAAACATTATTCTGCCGTAGCCCACTTACATCCCACTCTATTGAAAGGTCATCTAGCAAAATCTCTGAATAAGGGCACCATTAAGAATGACATTTCCCTTCCCCCCTGCTTTCTTGAGACTTAAATACTGATTCTTTTCAGATTGAATTTTCTTGTAAATGAATTCTGCACGTAAAGCTCAGTTTTGAAAGCAATTATTTGATGGAATTCTGCGGTTGCAAGAGGAATACCGATAGGTTCATGCCAGGCAATAAAACTTAGCCCAAGCTCCATAAGAGCGGAAAAAGAAAAAAGAAAAAAATCAGTGGCATTTGAATGCATGACTGCCTTCTGCATGAAAATTTCTCTCACAAAGCACAAAAGCAAACTACGCCATTCACCTTTAGGCCAGCAAGTCTAAATACACAAATACACCCTAACCGTTCTTAGCGTGTAGAACCATACTAAACAAATCAAAGCCATATCTAAAATGATTTGACTTGGTGTCACAATTCAAGACCCAAATAACATGATGAAGAGATTGCTTTCATCCCAAACAAACAAATTATATAAAAAAAAAATGATGCTGGATGACCAAAAATGATTCACGTAATTCAATATGAGCGAGCAACTGATCATTTCTTTTTATAAACAATATATAATTAAATATCATTTTACTAGCGCCAAAATATTTCCTTATTATAATTTAAGCTACCGTAGCAAAATTTAGAGGATTAAGCTAACAATGATAACAACTACAAAATAGCATATGACAGAACACACGCCCACTAAGGAATCACCGACCTCTTGAAATTGCTTCTTCCATCTCACTGTATGATGAAGAAAATAACTCTATGTAGCGACTCCCAAGGGTCATCCTGTCTTTCTCCATTGCTGCTTTAGAATCTTCAGCACTTTCAAACTCCACATAAGCCTCCCCGGAAGGTCTCCCCTCCGAATTCATTATAACATGAATAGAATCTTCTGACAGCACATAATCCTTGAAGAACTCCATTATGTCATTCTTACTAGCAGAAAAAGGCAATCCCCTCAGTCGCAACACCCCTGTGTGCTCAACTGACTCTTTTCCTTCATCGTATGATTTAGCCCGGGAAGCACTTCGACGAGGTGGTTCAGCTCGGGCATCTGAAACCTCATTTGCAATTGCCTTGTAATAGTCCTGCCTCTTACTTCTGAAAACCTCAACATATCTTCTACCCATGTTCTGTCTATTTCTTTGAAGAGCAAAGTCAACTTGAAGAGGATACCCCAGAACACAGAAGGCTTCCCCACTGAACATGCCACCTTTGTGAACAAAAAGAACATCAACTATATCAAGACCATGGAAGAACTCAGCAACATCAGTTTCAGTACAATCAAAGGGAAGTCCACGCAATCGAACAACAGGGAAAGTTGGAGAAGGTTGGCTGACATATTCATATGGAGGATTGTACATAAAACTGGAACCAGCGGAAGTCCCATAGAATGAAGATCCTGGCTCAACAATTCGCTGTCGTTTAGAAGACATTAAGCCCTTCACCTTTATCAACAAATTAACTGCAATTTTCATCAACAAATATAACAGAAAATGAGAAGCTCATTATTAGTGAACTAATGTTCAAATCTTAGTTTCCTAGTCAACACTAAAGCTCAGTTAAATCACTACTGTCTAAAATTTAAACTTTCTAATTATAAGCTAAATTCACATTAACTCTTGAGCGAGGAAAGGAACCCTATTACTACAACAACAACAACAATAATAATAATAATAATAAATAAACAAATAAATAAATAATAAATATTCTAAATAAATTGTTTCTGGCTGTGATAGATGTGTAGACATCAATCCAATATCTAAACAAAATTGAAGCTAGATATCCATTGCATCAAAAGAAATGTCAAAATATGACAAGGTAAGGACAAAATAAAGAAACGTTTATTCCTTAAAAAAAAAAAGACACCCTCACAACTATCTTCTGTTTCCTGGCCATCCACTCTTACAATTATAAAGATTACAAGACAAACAATAAGAAGCCTTCAAAATAGTAACTGCATCAGTAATAGTACCAATTGTTTTATCCTATACATTGTCGTGCTTAACAAAGTATAAAAGAAAAGCAAACGAGATAATTCAGAAACTATCCTGGCTGCAAACAACACTATTAACATGCCTTCCATAACTTCTTACACACTATATTTACAGACAGCTTATGACATTGAAGTTCTCCAATTGGTTACAGAAAATTAAAAAAAAAAAAAAAAAATCTAAATCAATGATTGATAAGGATAGAGGGTGTATCCCTTTTCAAGATTCAGGATAACTCTAAAAGGGCTAAAAAGGGCAAACACGTGCACAAGGCTCCGACTTGCGAGGTAGAGATGATGGTATCAATTGTGCGTAACCTTATCCTTGCATTTTTGCAATTCGAGCATGTGACTTTCAGGTTACAAGGAATAATCTTATCGCTACTCCAAGCTCAACCTGCAAATGATTAATTGCTTTCATACCAGTTATCCGAAAAACCTTAACATTAGCAGTCCCATTGGTACTTGCATGAAACTATTTTTAAATTAAATTAATCATATTCAATTTGTCATCAAACATCAGTAGGTACTTGAATTGAGAAAAGAAAAAGATGCTTTAAACCTTTTTTTTTTCTTGTTATTCTTTGTTGTGAAAGTTAGGGATAAAGGTGACGTTGATTTTGATGTATTCTTTGTTCTGAAACTATAGCACAGCTCTACAAGGTACAGTGGGAACAGTTTCATACACAGAAATAAACAAAAAAAAATTTAAAAAAATTGGCTGATAGAGTCTTCTCCACCGTAAAAGCAAAACCAATTATATGAAGTTAATGAAACCTAATATTAACATGAAAGGCAAAAACTCCAATGTTACAGTTCGAAGGGAAGCAACAAAATAGAAGACAGAAGAATTTTACCCCCGGTGGAACATTCTAGAACCCTTAATCTTTCAGAAAATGGATTGTGTCGTGCTTCTCTCAGAAGATGCTCGCTTTCGATTTTCCTTCGCTGCCTAGATTTTCAAGAGTTCAACTTGTAGCTCCTTCCCTCTAATTGAATTACTGGCTATAGTATATACACGCGCGTTTTTTTTTTTCCGTAATTTTATTTATATATAACAGAATAATTTTATAAAAGAATAAACAAATATTACATTCTTAGGTCATGTCATAAACACAATCAATTGTGGGGCCACTATTTTTAAAGTAAAGTAAAAGAATTGATGGACCTACTCTTATGTATCTGTAGGAAACTTGATTGTGTCATGTGAAAGGAGAAAAACATTATCCTTTCATAAATTCAAAACAAACATGTATAATTGTTACTATATCTTATCAATGGGAAAAAAGAAATGACACACCTTATATCTTTGCACTCTCACAAAGAGATGAGACCCACATCTTTAAAACTTTTTCCACTCATTTTCTCTCTTATGATTTATCTCTTTCTTTCACTTAAAATGACACAACTTTGTGTCCTTCAAAATGATACACATTTTTTCCCTTAATGATACTAGTTAGTATCTTTTGTAGTTATTTTTTTAAAAAAAATAGAATACTATTATATCAAATATGTTGATCCAACGGTTATATTTATTTCTTTTTTATATGGTTATGATTCCTCATATTTAATATTTTATATTTATTTTTATCTTTGTATGGTTATGATTTTTCATATTTAATGTTTTCACGTTAAATATGAAAAATCATAACCATACAAAGATGAAAATAAATATAACCGTTGGATCAATATAATCAATCTAATGATAAAATTAATTGATAATAACAATAATTAATTGTTACAATATATTTACCTGATATTATCTATCTTCCTTTCCTTTGCGTTTTCACACACTCGTGCAAGTGAAATCTCCTTTCTTGGGTTATTTTCTTTTGCCTCAATTTTTCTTCAACCAAACAAGCCTAAAAAGGCCAGAAAAGCCAACCCACTCTTTGGGCTGATGGACGACAGGCCTGTTTGTATTATTTTTAGACTTACTGAAGTCTGAAAGTGCCTTCCTCCTTGTTTATTCAATTTGGATTTTAGGATGTACAATGATAAATTCTACAAGAAATATTTCATTCAATGATAAATTTTGGAGATGGAGCACCCCTGTATATGAAATAATGAAATTCTATATATAAATAAAAAAGGAAGATTAAAAAATAAAAGGAAATAAATGATTTTTGCAAGGTTTATAAAAATAAAAAAATGTTATACAGCCCAAAAAATGAGAAAGTTCAGCCAAATAACGTAAAAATAGTTGTTAGAATAATTAAAATGATAAATATCATTCATTTACCTAAGTTCTGATACTGTTTTCCATCATGGATATTTACATGTCACGCGCACGCGCGAGTGCATGCAGATGTGTGCGTGTGTGTGTTCAAGTCATTAACCAAAGTGAAGAAATGTACAAGCGAAGCGAGTTGGCCGGTCTGCCCACCCAATTTAGAAAGAAAGAAACAACGTTGATTTGAGTCTTTCGCTTTTTCTGCTCGAAAATTTTCGACCTCAAAATTTCGTTTGGTTAAGGTTCGCACACACCCAAATACACACCCTTTGTTTTCCTTGCACCAAAGCACCTTCTCTCCTCGTCAAGCTTCATTTTAACACTACATGCGTCTTTGACTACAATTTATAAATTTCCAGTCTTTTTGGATTCCCACGCCACGATTACTCCCTTGCTGTTCGTGGGTAACTCTCAATTTATTAACTTTGCACCTTTTTTTGACATAATTTTCATCTGGGGAAGTTAGTTTTGTGGTTGTGTTGAGGAAGAGGATGGTAGGTGGTGTATCTGTTGTGGGGGACTCACACACTGGCCCATGTTTGTGCGTGGATGCTCTGGTCACAACTAGTGTGAATCTCAAGAGTGGCGGAGATGTTGTTTTGTGGAAGAAGAAGAAGCATTTGGTGAGGCGTGGAACGATGGAACTTAGCAGTTCCTTCGTTGATCCGCGAGAGTGGCGTCTTTGTGTTAATACAAGTTTCAATAAGCAGCGTAGAGATCGGAGAGTGACAACTGTAAACGAGCTCGGTGGCCAATATGAGGACACTTTTCATGATGTTAAAAAGGTATATGCATAATTACTCTTCCGTGGTCGTTTGTTTCATAAATTAAATTTATTATAAACTTAGCTCAGTTGACAGCTGAGTTCTCAAGGGATTGCTTGGTGTAGGGATCAAACTCTGCCTCAAGCAGTTTCTTGGAAAAATTTTGGGGGTCAGGGGATAAGCTAAAAATCTTTTGCCCGGAGAAAGTTGAATAGGGATACCTCCTGGCAATATAAAAAAAAAAAAAATTACTATAAACAATTCAGACCCATGATGCCATTTTTTTGAATTATTTTTTTCTCCTTATGCCCACTTTCCATTTTACCTTCTACCATCATTTAAATATAGACTTAAGTTGTCCTTCAATAAATAGAAAGATTAGATATTTAGGTCTGCTTTCAAAAATATTAACATAATTTTTTATAAATCTCTGGCCTGATATAATGGTCAATAAATGCTATTTTTGAAAGAGTGTCATTTTGAAGGAACTATAAATCGGAAGATCGAACAAAGTGCCATTCTTTGAAACGCGAACAGTACTTTTTATCAGACTGACACGTGATGTAATTAGCTACGACTGGTAGCGAATTACGTCCGCCAATAATTTTGTGACACGTGGCACTTTTTCGCAAAAAAAATTGACTGGGCGTAATTCGCTACTAGTGGTAGCAAATTTGGTACGTAATATAGCCACGTGTCACGAAATTATTGGCAAACGTAATTCGTTACCAATCGTAGCGAATTATGTCGCGTGGCAATCAGGTAAAAAATACTGTTCGCGTGGCATTTGAGTAAAAAATTTGTCAAAAAATCTTTAATATTACATTAGAATATATGGACTTTAATGTGTCTTTCACTAACCTTTACCAATCTGTCTGCTACAATCTAACTAAATTCATCTATGAAATACAGCAAATAGTCAATTATTTCACATACAAGGCTGCGAGGACTGTTCTTCAGCAGTTGTATGAGATGAACCAACCTCAATATAGGTGGTTCTACAAGTAAGTGAAATTTATGTTGTAAGAAGATTAATGTTTCCACCAAAACTTATATGCCCTTGTAATTATTTTAGTTTGGAAATTATGTCTCTACATGTTAAGTATCTAAATTGTTGACTTTAGCCAACTTTAGTAACTATTTCGACATGAGTTTGAGGAAAAGAGAAGATTTCGGACACTCTTGATATAAAGTTTCTCATTTTCTAATTCTGTCATGTGTAAAAGTTGAATTCATTTTGTTTGTTTTTTTGTGCTTTCAAAACTAGCCAGCAATAAATGATTACTGAAGTGATCAGAGCAACGTATGCCACATGTTATATCACCTATTATTTGGATCTTAATAAATTATTACAATCTGAGAGTAAAGTTAATTAATTTTTGGTACACATAGCAAAGTTAGTTATTTAGCTAACTGTTAGTTGTGTTTTTCATGTTGGCAGTTTCGTTGCAACAAACAAGCCGGCAGATGGTAAACGTTTTTTACGATCCCTCGGGAAGGTAGTCTTGAGTACCCTAGTTACTTATTGCATTTGACATTTGTTGAGAATTTTCAGAAAAAGGTAGTTGCTATGGCTTTTGTGTTTTTTAGGTACTCTATTAAAGAATTACTATGATTTGAAAAAAAAAAAAAAAAATTAAAAGAAGTTCTAAACATTTCAAGTACAGATCAAGAGTTGTTACTACTGTTCATTTTCTTCTTATGCCAAATGTTAAATCACCACAATTCCAAAACTGATACTGATTAAAAATAAATAAACCCCTGTAAGCATGTTATTAGTCTTTTCGCAAAGCTGAAAGCACTTTCATAATAGAAGATTAGGGGAAATTTCTACCAAATTACACTGTAGATGCTTTAATAAACTGCTCAGTTTTTATACATTCCATACGACGCCTCCAATTTTCATGTCTACATGTGCACTGCTATCAGTCTATATTGCCTTTACACAAGATATTGTTCATATACTTTTCAATCAAACATATTCTTTTGAAAATTATATGTCACAAGGTGTAACCTGATGACATTGGAAATGATGCCATATATTTTTTTGTCCCAATTGATAGGAGCAACAGGACCTTGCTGAGAGAGTAATGTTAGCACGGCTTCAACTTTATGGTAAATGGGTCAAGGTAATTGAGATCAAAGTTATCATTTTCTTTTTGTTTGATATCCAAGGCATGTGATAATCTTCTGTGAAGGGGAGTTGCACTTAAAAAGTTAAAATTATAACCTTTCTCTACCTCTTATTTTTGTCATGCAGAAATGTGATCATGCTGAGATATATCAAGAACTCTCTGATGAAAACTTGGAGTTGATGAGGGAACGGCTCATGGAAACTGTAATATGGCCTTCAGATGACACAAACACAGAAAAAATTGGCTAATAAGTTCGGACCTTTCATGTCATCTTTTCACTTCAGTCTCTTACTCTTTTTACCTCTTCCTAGTCTAGGTATAATTGTGGTTTCAATACCTGTCCGTTTCTTTCTAAATGCGTCATTTGTGTCATTTTCCCTTAATTGGATTGCCTGTATTATGTTCTGCAAATTGTGTATATCTATCTCTATGCCGTTTCAAATACACAATCCATTGTTTAGATAGTTTGAAATGGATTTACCAGAGGGTTAAAAAAATTTAGGCATTTGTTAAGAGTGTTTGTTACCAATCTCTAGAATCTATTAGTCTTGTTAGCTTCCAAAGTTTTTGGAAGCAATATAAAAGAAATTAAAGTTTTAGGATGGGGCTTACTCTCAAATGCCAAGTATATGTCATAACCTATGTAGCATTATATCGACACGGGATACGTGACACGACACAATACGACACTCTGATACGTTAATTTTAAAAAAATGTTAGATTTCAACACGTTAAGACACGCTTTGATATTAAATAATATTTTTAATTTATATAGTGTATATTATATTTAATATTCAATAATTTAACAAAAAAATGAAACTAAACTTATAATATTCATCAATTTCGCAAAGAAACATAAGATATCCTAAATATTTATATTAAACTCAATAAAATGGTAATCGTAATCCAACGAATCTAATAGTTGGAACTAAAAACGCAATGCAACCTTTGAAACTTTTTTTGAATTCCTATAACGCGTGATTGGAGTGTCGGAGAGTGTCGGAAAGTGTCGCACACGACACGTCAGAATTTTTGAAGTGTCGGTGCTTCATAGGTCATAACTCATAACTATATTTACATAATTTTACTTTTGTAAGAAATTTTCCTCAGACCTGGAATGCTATTTTCTATCAATTTTTTTTTTCTCTTATGATTCAACCTCACAATCGGAATGACTACTATTATAACTTACAACATATTTGTCAAATTGCACTTTTACTTTGTTCTGTTCTTTCAATGCGTATTGGTGCTCAGACTTGAGTAGTTAGGTTTGAGTGTTACATTTATTCTTTGATCTGGAAAAATACACCAAACATCTAATTATGCATAAACATGACTGATAATTATCGGTGTGTATTTTACTACAGGTAGAGTCCATTTATTTAGCTATGAGGAAAACGGCCGCAATCTAATTGAGCTCAATCTTCGGTTGCAAAAATTAACCTATGTGTCTCTTTAGGATGATGATTTTTTTTCACTTTTTCTTCTCCATGATCTATTTTTTTCTCTTACTTAAAAGAACATAATTTTTTCAATATGAAAAAAGTATATGTCATTTTATTATTTACGAGTAAACCCCATTTTGGTTGGTGAAAATTTTCATCAATTTAATCTCAAATGATTAATTTATATATTATTATATGAACCACAGTACATATAGAAATTATAGAATCAAGGCCATATATCAGTAATATATGTACATATTCTTCCTCTAAATCATGCTTCCTTACTAGCATTGTGTCATCAATTAATAAAACCTTATTTTTATTTTTATTTTATTTTAAAAAGTTCAAGTACAAGTAAGTTTCATGCAAATAATTAAACATATATTATTCTTTTGAATAATAATAATTAATAAGTTAACTACTTTCACTATTTGAAATTTAAATTAATTCACAAATATACGAATAAAAATGATTGTATAACTTTGGAATTTTAATAGAATTTTTTTTTTTATATTAATCGCTATGCACGCAGTTACCTACAAGTGGAATCAAACTTTTTATATCACTTCATTTTTTGGTACGGTGCACAGTGTTAACTTAGTTCAGTTCATAAATAGTGTACACAGAAAAATATTTTTGCAAGTTATTTGCATTTACTTTCAAAATAATATTATTTTAGAATTTGAATATTAAAAAATTATAATTATAAAGATTATAATAACTTTAAAATAAATTAAAATTACAAAAATACTATAATTTTCTTTCCAAAATAATGACATATTGGACTTACTGCAGATAATTTATCTAGAGTAACCGCAGAAAAAATGAACCCTAATATAAAAGACAAAAATTAATTAATGTGACAAGAATAATCATTTAAAAATCGAATTGATTTGTGAAAATCCCGTCTTCTTTTTTTTGGTAAACATTTGTGAAATTCCCTTTATTATGCATAAATGTTGTTTAAAAAAACAAAAAACAAAACCGAACCATTAACTTTTTAATCATTTATTTTTATTTTTTCTAAAATAGACCTCTTCCTTTTAATAATTTCATTTATAATAGCCAAAAAGATGATACAAGTGGTTACACTACTCTTAATGAATAATATGTAAAGGCAAGGAGATGAAAAGGTAGGGAGGTAACTAACAGAGAAGCTAAAATAGTTATAACAAAAAAAAAACGCTCTGATAGGGTTTTCCTTTTCAAAAAAAGGCTCTGCTAGGGTTTTCCTTTTCCTGGAGGAAAATATAGCTACTGAAGGCCAAACTTCAAAAGAAGAAGAAGATCTACTACGTAGGAGTAATAAGAGAAATAAAGATGGAGATAGGGTGTTTATTGAATCACAGTCTAGGGTTCCTAGACATGAATCTTGGATGGTTGACGACGGTAATAAAAAGATGACTTGGCGAGAGATGCTCATGCAACACAATGGTGAAACAGATGACTGGGAAGGAATGGATTGGAATTTGGAAGAAAATGTTGATCAAAGTGCACCTGCGGAGGAAGAGGATGTGAATTATGGTGGGATTAAAATGTGGACAGAGGAAGATGGTAGAACTCATTTTGGTTGTACTAGAAAAGCAAGAACAAGAATGCTGAAGGTTTGGGAAAAAGCTCTCATTGTAAAACTACTTGGAAGGAATACAGGAGTGGCTTTCATGAAAAAGAAGATTGAAATACTATGGGCTAGAGCTGGAAAGATTAACGTTACAGATGTAGGTAATGGATTCTATGTGGTGCAATTTAGCAACAAAGATGATCTTCTTTTTGCTCTAAATGGTGGTCCTTGGATTATTTTAGGCCATTATTTATCACTCCGACGTTGGGAGCCAGCTTTTAGACCAAATGCTGCAAGTGTGATGAAGATTGCAGCTTGGGTGCGATTACCGGGTATCCCACTGGAGTATTATGATGAAGCCTTTTTCCGCCGTATTAGTAACTGGCTAGGTAAAATGTTGAAGATCGATAAGACAACTAATGAGCATGTAAGAGGACAGTTTGCTCGAATTTGCGTGGAACTGGATCTTGCTCAGCCTTTGAAGGGTGAATATGTGTTGGACGGAGCAACTAAACAGATAGAATATGAAGGTTTAGGCCTTATTTGTTTCCATTGTGGGCGCTATGGACATAGTAAAGATTGTTGTCCTGAGATACCAGTTGAAGGAAAGGATAATCAGCAAAATCAAGACGGGAAAAAAGATGAGGCTGAGTTTCAGAAAAATGGATTAGGTCCTTGGATGGTGGTGCAACGTCAACGTCGATCAAAAATTCAAACTCCAATGGCGGACAACAGGAAGCAGGAACCGGCTCGAAGGGAATCAAGGCGTAATCAAGGGAGTAATCAAGGGAATAATCAATGGAGTAATCAAGGGAGTAATCAACCGCAATCAAATCAGCTGGTTATGATTGATAATCAATCAAATTCCCGTTACGCTGCTTTAATGGGCTCTAATGAAGATGATATTACTCATGATATCCCAGTGACTAATCCGGATGCTGTTATAAATGACGTCAATATGGTGGGCCCTCCTGTTAATATTGATATTAGTACACCCCAACCGATTTACGTTAAGTGGGATTACGACATGTCATGAAAAAGAAAATCAAATAAATGGAAAGATAGTTGACAGAGGTACCTCAAACAATACTACAACGAACTTGAGGAGGCAAGTTACGATTCATAATAGTAAGGACATTGGAGGTAAAAGCGGTGGAGATTCCATGGTGGCTAGGAGTACTGTTGCTGATTATAACAAAGATTGTTATCAAATGGAGGTGGATAAGGATGGTCAAAATATCAACGGCTTAGATCATGGCTTGTCCCAACCAAAAGCGCCTGATCCAAGTAGAGATAAAGGAAAGCATATCCCAATAAACCATAAGCTCAATATTGAGGTGGAGATGATTTCAGAATCTGAAACTCAGTGCAATGACAATGGGATGGCAGTGGACCCACAATCCTGCCAAATTACCATTGATTAATGTCTTTAGTTACATGGAATTGTCGCGGGGCGGCTAAAAAGTGCTTCAAATCAACGTTTCAAATGATGGTTCGAAGGCATAAGATTGAGGTGGCAGCTATTCTTGAACCTCGAGTAAGTGGTTCAAAAGCAAAACAGATAATAAAAAAGCTGGGTTTTAATAATTCAATAGTGGAGGATGCTCATGGATTTACGGGAGGTCTTTGGTTACTATGGCATAATGATAGGTGTCAGGTTCAAGCATTAAAACAGACCCATCAATTTATTCATGTTCGTGTTACATTGGCAGATCATCAAGCTTTTCTTTATACTGTTATCTATGCAAGTCCTAGAGAAGAAATTCGGAAGAGACTTTGGGATGATTTACTTCAGTTATCAGAAGATATCTCGGTTCCTTGGTTAATTGCAGGTGATTTTAATGAAATTGCCTTTCCAAGTGAGAAACGTGGTGGTGCTCCAGTTGATACTAGCAGATGTAATAAATTTTCTTCTCTTCTAACTGATATAAAGATGATTGATCTTGAAGGAATAGGTTCTAAATTTACATGGCGAGGACCAAGATTTCTTCATTTAGATAGAGTCTTTAAACGTTTAGATCGAGCTTGTAGCAATGCTGAGTGGAGGTTGATGTTTCATGAAGGCCAGGTTCGAGTGCTTCCTCGTATTAACAGTGACCATAATCCTATCCTTATTACCTTAGAGCCAAGCAAAGTTGATGGGGTGGAACGCCCTTTCCGTTTTCATTCTTTTTGGTTGGATCATCAATTTTTTAACAATTTCATCAAGGAAAACTGGCGTCAGGATCAAAGAACAGTTGATAGTCTTCGTGATTTCACTCCTCTTATTAAGCAGTGGAATAAAGATGTGTTTGGTAATATCCATCATAAGAAGAACAGGTTGATTGGTAGGCTTGAAGGTATCCAGAGGGCAATTTCTGAGCAGAATAAAAGCCATTTGGAAAAGATTGAAGGCAAGATAAGGGGTGAACTTGAACAGGTTTTAGAACAGGAGGAACTTTTGTGGTTTGAAAAGTCTCGTGCTACTTGGATAGCTCAAGGAGATAGGAATACAAAGTACTATCATACGAAAACAATTGTTAGACGTAG